GTTGTTGCTGTGATTGCCTTTGGGGTCTTCTTCATAAATTCTTTCTCTAGGCCAATGTCTATAAGAGTTTTTCCAATATTTTCTTCCAGAATTCTAATAGTTTCAATACATATTTTGTATGTTATATGTATTATATACTGTGTTCTCACAGTAAAGTAAGCTAGCAAAAGAAAATGTTATTAAGAACATAATAAAGAAGAGAAAACATATTTAATATTCATTAAGTGGGAGTGGATCATTATAAAGGTCTTTATCCTCATTGTCTTCAAGTTAAGTCAGCTTAGGAGGAGGAGAAAGAAGGGGTGTAGGTCTTGCTGTCTCAGGGGTGGCAGAGGAGGAAGAGCTGGAGGAGGTAGGAGAGAAGGAGAGGCAGGCACACTTGGTGTAACTTTTATTGAAAAAAATCTGCATATAAGTGGCCTGCACTGTTCAAACCTGTGTTGTTTGAGGGTCAACTTTACATTCTTCCCATGTTAAGCACAAGTATAGTATTTCTATTATCTTTGTATAGTCTTTTTATTAAATACATGTGAATCAACTTCTGCATGTTTAAAATGATCTTATTTATCAATTACTACATTTATCCTTTATAATCATTATTTGATTGTGTCAGTTATATAAATATATGTTTATCAATCTGCATTAGTGATTCAGACATGAATTCCCAGAACTATCATCTTTAAACAAATTACCAGATGTCGATGTTAATGCTGTAAGCAACAAGTAGAAGCTAGGAACACACATACGAGTTTGTGTCACAGTAATTCAGTTCCCTATATTTTTGTGTAATTTGATTCTCCCCTTTCAAATCTTTAGGATAGACTGCTGCTCTCTCCAAAGTCAAATATCACACTGTGCCTTCTTCCTCCTTTGTATCTGGTGCCAACAGGGCTTCGGACATAGTAAGTGCTCAACGAACGTGCAAAGAAAAATAGAAGGGAGGGAGGATGGATTTACTAGGTGCGATGACGGCTAACGTTCTCTCTGACTTCCACTGAAGGCTCTTTGGTTTGCTTTCTGGGTGAGACCCTTGGTCCTTCTGCTGTCCCCACAGCGGCCTTGCACAGTCCCTCATAAGTGCCTGGCATACCCTCCTTGCTGTCCATCCCCTCCTCTGAATCTTGCATTACTCTCCTTTCTCTCTATGCTTAATCACATGGACCATTCATTCAGCCGTTCAAGTATCGACAGAGCATTTACTATGTGTTTTAGGAACTTGAGGTACATCAATAAACAAAACAAAGTTCCAGATCTCATGGAGTTTACGGTCCAGTTGGGGACAGAAAAAAAAAAAAAAAAAATTAAGAAAGAAAGAAATTCAGAAAGAAAAGAAATGAATATAAAATACAAAGTCAGGTTATGCAGGGCATGGGGAAGCAAGTGGGTGGGAAGGAAGGCCCCCTGGCAAGGAGATGAAGAGGTCTGGGGAGAAGAGGGCCTTGGCTCCAATCCCTGACACCGGCTCCTGCTGCCTCAGGCTCGGCACTTGCTGCTCTCTGGGCCTGGAGAGCTCTCTCTCCAGATCTTCTCTTAGCTTCTTTATCCTACTCCCTAAAATTATCTCGTCTACCATCTACCTTCCCCGGATTAGAATGTACATTTTAGGAAAGCAGGTTCGTTATAGCCTTTCCAGATCAATAGATTCTTGTTGAATGAGTGAATGAACCCAAACTCGAAAGCTTGTCAACCATGTATTACACAAAACTCCTGTCTCTCCCTCCACAGGAAATCCACTGCCCTAAACTTCTGTCATCCCTACCAGACTCACGTGCCACCTGAACTGTAACCTTTCAAAGTTTCCCCACCTGCCAACTAGATCATAGACCTCAAAGGCAGACACCAGCTCAGTACCTGTTTTATCTTCCTGGATCCCTGTCACAGGGCTTCAGAAATAAATCTGTGTCAATTTCCTGAGCACAGAAGCCAAAATCTTAAATGACACCCACTAGAGACCCTGGGGCCCACGCAGGACAGGATCAGCAGAAGAGCTGGGGTCTATCAGCCAACCCGAGATCAGCTGACTGGAAACCCTGATTCTCCACGGCACATACGACTTCAATACCTCGACCACTCACTTGGTCAGAAAATACACCCATTTGACCCATGACTCATGGGGGGTTTAGATAAGAACATTCTATTGCTTCTGCTCTAGCTCATTAACTTAAAAAGAATAAGAACAAGCTCTGGAGCAAGGATTAACGTTTGCCTTGACCTGGCTGATTTATTTTTAAGTGCTCCCAGGCCAGATCTAATACATAAAGCACACTGCGGTGGTGTAGTCCAGGCAACTAGAGTAAACTGCTTTTTCCGCTAACAGGGATACCAGTTAATACAGCTCTGTTAACAGAGCAGAGCAGCGGGCTGCCAGATGTGTACAGCTGTAAAGGTGTGCCGAAGAGTCATAGCTTACTGCTTGGCAAAAACTAACCGTGGTTCAAAGAGAGTATGTTTCACGTTTTAAAAGTGAGAAGGGCACCCCCAAAATGACTACTTCATTTTTAAAAGCCCTATTTTATGGGTTCAGTCCAATTCCATCTGTGGTCAATTTGAGGTTGCTACCCTTAGATAACCAGAGATAATGTTAAATCACCCAGGGCAGAGAGGGTGGTGAGCAGAGACCGAGAGGAAAGAACAAAACTAAAAATAAACTAAAGGCCAAGAACACCCTAGTTTGTCAATAAAATGGGTATTATGAAGAAAATGTAACAACATCGAAAAAACGTTATAATGATAAATGAAGTCATCAGGAAACACCATTGTGTCTTTGCCTAGATTAGTTATATTAAAGCATGTGCATAAATATGGGATGTTGTTAAAAGGAGATGGAAAAATAAAAGTACATTATTTGTTAGGGAGTAAGGCCCAGGATGGGGAACATTTTTAAAAAGTTCTTTTTTCCAACATGTCCATACAGTGTTACTATAATATTTTTATCATTTTAAAATAACTTTTTCTTCAAAGATCTCAGAAAGTACTGATTGCTCTCCCTAAGTTGTCATAGAGCTGTTCAACCCACCTACTTAACGTGTTAGTAAGTATTGGTTTCAATCTTCCAAGATTTAGGGTTCCCCTAACTGTGTGACTGGGTAAACTACTTATTCTCTCTAAGCCTTGGTTGGGAAATTAATAGCCACATAGTTTTAAAATCATCCATGAGCAAGATGTTGACAAATTCTAACAATGCTTTTCTTTTGGTTTCCTGGATTACAGGAGGGAGGGCAACCATCTGACTCACAGTGGTGACATTCAAAGTCAGTGCTGCTGCCCAG